AATTGTTGGAGCTTCAATGTGAGGTTACGTAGACGTAAAGAGAAATCCGCAAGCTTTTGTAAAATAACTTGTTTAGTTATTTGATGGCTTTCAAGTAAGTCATACAGCTTACACTTTGTGCTATGCTCTAGCGTACTGTTTTATCACGTGAAAGTCTCTCAATGGGAACTAAAAATAACAGTTCTCGAAAACTTTGCGCAATACCTTTTTATATTACAAAACTGCGAAAAATTACTAAGTCCTGGTGAATTTCTGTGTGAGCATTTGCCTCTTGTGTTCTCTGAATACCCCAGATACCTTCCATATCCTCACTATCATTTTTGTGCAAATGCAGGGGGTAATTTTGCAGCTAAATGAACATTTCTGAAACAGATTCAGTAAGTGCTCATAGAAATCTTATCCTATTTTTTACATCCACATGATATTCGACACAGGAGACAGCAAATCCCCTAGCATTAATGATCCCATATTCGATAGTTGCGTGTAACGGCCCCGTTTCGGGTTTTGTGACGTAAATTTGATAGCTACCAAATTCATATCAGTTAAAGTTTTGATGCAGTAGTGTTTTTAAGAAGAAGAAGATAACAACAAAAATTGTTCTGGCCTGACTACAATTCTGAGTGTTCACAAATGAACGCGTCTTGTTCAGTCTTTTCATAAGCTTCTTGACTTTTCCATATAACGTTGTGTGTTATTATGATGCAGCTGGTCTGATTTAACACTACTGCAACTTTGCTAATTGAAATCTTAGATATATGACATTCTAGTTTGCAATGGGTCCGCTCCCTTTAGGAAACTTGACAAATTCAGACACATTGGAGAGTTCAAGATAGTGCCAATAGATCTACGGTCTGGTTACTTGTATCAGGAGGAACAGATTATGTAGCTATGTCCGCATAGGCGCAAAACAGATCTCTTGACTAGCCTTCGAGTAAATACTAGCTATGCGTTTGCTGGTCTCCTTCTCTACAAGTTTTTGAACTGGGCACACTTTAGCGAAGCTAGTCTTGCTAGTTCTCTCGTACGCTGGCTTGAATTTCACAAACGCTGAAAACAAAATTTCTTTAACTATTGGGGATTCTTAATCCATACGTGCACCAAAATTCATCTATTGCGGTTTTCATTCCGGAATGCTGAATTTTGATATGTGCAAGTATTTTTGTGAAGTCCGTTGATTTATTGCAATATGTAAACAGAACAACTCGCCTGTTCTATACTATGTAACCACATTTCAGATTTTGCGTATCATTAAAAAAGATTGTAACATCAGGTTTCTCGAGCTGTTACTCCGCTGTAAGGATCAAAGTATACTAAAAATCAATAAAATGAAATAAGTGGATTACCAGTAGCATATGTCCACTGTAATATGCTGTGCATGGTTTCTGAATCGGACAAAATCACATACTTCAGGCTTTTCATTCTGCCTTACTATGTTGGAGCTTTTGTCGATCAGTCATTGGCTTTCAATCGAAGAAGAGATGACAAGGCTAAAATCAGGCCCGAGGTACATTACACTCATTTTTT